CTGGGAGGGAAATGAGGTGAGGGGTCTTCCAGGACAGGGCGGAGGGCTTGTGTGCTACGGCAAGTGGTGAGGCGTGGCCAGGGTGGGCTGCAGAGGTGGGTGGGGCTGGCTTCTTATATTGGGTGCTGTATCAGTCAGGATTCTTCAGAGAAACAGAACCAACAGGAGACACAGACAGGTAGGTAGGTAGGTATAGATATACAGGTTCGCCGGCTGGGCATGGTGGTTCATGCCTGTAAGTCAAGCACTTTGGGAGCCTGAGGCAGGACGATCGCTTGAGGCCAGGAGTTCAAGATCAGCCTGGGCAACAGAGTGAGACAAAAAATAAGAAATTACCAAGTGTGCTGGAGCACGCCTGCAGTCCCAGCTACTCGGGAGGCTGAGGCGGTAGGATCGCTTGAGTCTGGGAGTTCGAGGCTGCAGTGAGCTCTGCTGGCCACACTGCACTCCAGTCTGGGTGACAGAGTGAGACCCTGTGAAATAAAAAATGAGATTTACAGATGCCCCTCAATTTATAATGAGGCTACATTCCAACTAATCCATCCTAAGTTGAAAACAACTTTAATACCTTGATAAACCTGTCATAAAGTTAAAAAACCTTCAGTTGAACCCTTATAACTTGGGGACCATCTGTATTATGGGAATTGGCTCATGCCATTATGGGGGCTAGGGAGTCCCAGAATCTGCCGTCTGCAAGCTGGGAAGCCCAGGAAAGCCGGTGGTGTCGTTCTAGTCCCAGCGGAAGGCCTGAGAGCCAGGGCCACTGATATGCAAGGGCAGAAGTTGGATGTCTCGAATCAAGCAGAAGGCAAGTTTGCCGTTCTTCCTCCTTGTTTTATTCCGGCCCTCAATAGATTGGACGGCGGCCAACCACAGTGGTAAGGGCGAGCTTCTTCACTCACTCTACTGATTCAAATGCCACACTCTGTGGCTCTTTTTTTTTTATCTTTGAGATAGGGTCTCACTCTGCTTTCCACCCAGGCTGGAGTGCAGCAGCCAGTCTCGGCTCACTGCAGACCTCTGCATCCTGGGTTCAAGCTATTCTTGTGCCTCAGTCTCCCAAGTAACTGGGACTACAGGCACCCACCACCACACCCAGCTAATTTCTGTATTTTCAATAGAGTCAGTGTTTCAACATATTGGCCAGGCTGGTCTCGAACTCTTGACCTCAAGTGATCACCTGCCTCAGCCTCCCAAAGTGCTGGGATTACAGGTGTGAGCCATTATACTCTGCCTCAAATTCTACTGTCTTGCAGAAACACCCTCCCAGTCACACCTGGAAATCATGTCATGCCCACTATCTGGGCACTCCTTAGCCCAGTCAGGCCAACAGATAAACTGAACCATCACGGCTGTCCTGAGGATTAGCCGGGGACCGTAAAAAATTCCAGGGCTCAGCTGGACCCCATAGGTGCTGGCTCTGTGTACCTGAGGGGGCCTGGGCCACAGGTAGTTTTTGAAGCCCCTCTGTCTTTCTGGCTGGGCTGTGGGTAAGACCCCCTGTCTGAAATTGCATGCACCAGGCTACGTGCCAAGTGCTTGGTTTACCTGCCCTCACTTCATCTACACAAGCAAGAACCCCGTCAGGAAGGTTCCCATTTTACAGATGAGGAAACTGAGCCTCATATGGTTTCACCATGTACTCAAGGTCACAGGAATGGGGAGTGTTGGTGCAGAGATTTGAATCTCGGAAGAAGTTCCGAAGCCTGGATTGTTACCTACTCCACCTTGCATGAGGTCTTGCTGGTCACTGAGATACCAGCAGTAGCTTAGTCTCAGCTCAGATACCTGTGGAGGGTTGGGGGACACAGAATTTCTGATGGTGGCAGAGGAAAGTCCTCAAACACTCCTGCCCTTGTCAATCTGGCCCTAGAAAAATTCTCCAGAAGATCTTTGGCTGGCCCTGGTAAGGTCACAAAGGCATCAGAGAGAGCACACATAGGGAGAGGTTGAAGGTTAGGGCCATGGGCATGGAGAAATGAATGGAATTCAGGCTTTAGGAAATCTGGGACTGTATCCCAGAATGACCCCATCCATCTATCACTCTATCACTCCATCTATCCATCCATCCATCCATCCATCCATCCATCCATCATGCATGCACAGAGAGCCCACTGGCCTGAGTCTGCACCCAGCCCCCAGAGGACAGGTAAAAATTAGACACAGTCATTGCCTGTGGGTGAGTCTACCGGAGAAGGAGAACTGAAAAACTAATTGCAAGGCTCTGCGCTGTGGCTCACACCTGTCATCTTGGTGCTTTGGGAGGCTGAGGTGGGAGGACTGCTTGAGTCTAGGATTTTGACATCAGCCTGTGCAAATGAGGAGACCTTGTCTCTACAAAAAAATTAATAAATTAACTGGGAGTGGTGGCATGTGCCTGTGGTCCCAGCTACCCCGGGAGGCTGACGCAGGAGGATTGTTTGAGTCTAGGAGGTTGAGGCTGCAGTAAACTATGATTGCATCACTGCTCTCTAGCCTGGGTGACAGAGCATGACCTGTCTCCAAAAAAAAGAATTCCACAGTTCACAACACACCGTGACCTGTGATGTGTGTGTGTCACAGCGGCATCTCTGATCTGGGATAACATTTAGGGGCACAAGGACTCAGACTTAAATACCCTAGTTCCTAAGTGAGGTGGTTCTTTTCTTCTGTCACCCTTTTTTTTTTTTGAGACAGGGTCTCACTCTGCGGTCCAGGCTGGAGTGTAATGGCATGATCTCAGCTCACTGCAACCTCTGCCTCCTGGGTGCCAGCAATTCTCCTGCCTAAGCCTCCCGAGTAGCTTGGACCACAGGTGCCTGCCAACACACCTGGTTAACTTTTGCATTTTTAGTAGAGATGGGATTGTACCACGTTGGCCAGGCTGGTCTTGAACCCCTGACCTCAAATGATCTGCCCACCTCAACTTCCCAAAATGCTGGGATTACAGGCATGAGCCACCTCGCCCAGCCTGTCAGCTCTTCTGATCCTATCACTGAGAAAATCTTGGCTAGGTGGCAACAGGCCTCCTTATTAACAGGGAGTGGGCAAGTCTGGGTCTGGAGCCTGTGGCAGGTGCTAGGACCTGGCTAAAATTTAGTGATACGGATTTGCTTCTACTGCATGTTTTTATGTTCTCTTGAATTTCTGGCAAGGGCAATGGGTTGAATGGTGACCCCTCTAAAAAGATGTCCCTGTCCTAAACCTGGTCCCTGTGAATGTGACCTTCTTTAGAAACAGGGTCTCTGCAGAGGAAATGAAGGCTCTTGAGATACGATCACCATTGATCAGGGTGGGCCCTAAATACTGCTGTCCTTACAAGAGAAAAGAGAGGGGGATTTGACACAGACATGGGGAAGAAAGTGCTGTGGGGACAGAGGAAGGGACTGGAGTGACTCACTCATGGGATGAGGAACACCAAGCGCCACTGCACTACAACCTGGTGCCTGGCGACAGAGCAAGACTCTGTCTCAAAAAAAAAAAAAAAAAAAAAGCAAGGAAGCGACAGTGGAGGTGACAGGCAGACATGTGTTCAAGGGGTACCTGCTGCCCTCCGGAAGTCAGACTGAGCCAGGCAGTGTCATGGCCGCAGGGGCAGGCAGAGCAGGCTAGGCCCCAGCACAGGGGCATGGCCTGGAAGCCCAGGTGGCTGGTCTCTAAGTGGGGTGGGTAGACCCAGGGCTAGAGCAGGGCCAGGAGCTCTGGGGCCTGTAGAAGGCAGGGGAGCTTCACGCTGCCCATCGGCAGCCTTGAGTGAATTGCCAGGAAGCCCCTTCTGCGCCCAGCCCCATGAGTGATTATTCAGAAGCAACTTTCCTTTGGAGAACAGCACTTTAGACGTTAAGGGTTTTTTCCCACTGCCATGAAGTGGCACAGAGCAGCAGGACAGGAGGGGAAGGGGGTTTCCAGCAGCTGGCTGGCCAGCAGTCGGTCTTCCCCTAGAGGTCACCTGCAGGCAGGACGCTGCCACCTGCCCTCGCTGGCCCCTCCCTCTGGCTGGAGTCAGGACGTTCTGGGCCTGGTGGGCATATCCACTGGACCCTGCCAGGCCTCGAGTCATGGCTACCGAGGGGAGGGGAAAACAGACAGCAGCCGGTCACACAGGTCACTTTCAACCGCAGCGCAGGGGACACAGACATGCTCTGGGGACACCAGAGACTTGGCCCTGGCCTCTCATCCAGCCCCAGGCAACCCCTGGGTTTGAATATGGGCTGGGAATGCAAGGAGGGAGGAGCTTTCACCCATCAGGTCTCCGACACGTAAATGCCCAGGTGCCCATGAGGCCTGAGACCGGGTGAGACTGGGGCATGGGAGGGCAGCACCTTCCTCCTTCTCTTGGCAGAGCCGCAACCCTTGGGATGCGGTGGGGGGAGGGGTTCCATGTTCATTCTTTCCCTACTCGGTTTTGCTCTCAAGACCCAGAAGTTCCCGGTCATTTCTGGGTACGGTTTATGCCGGATCGTCCGACTTTGAGAACCTGTGATCCCGTTTCCAGGGATTTCTGGGTTTCACGCAGGTGCATGTCGGAGTTTCCGAGTCACGCCCGGCCCAGCACTTCACCTGCCTCTGTCCTCGGTGGGGCGTCTTCCTGCTTCCCTCGGCCCGGCCTGGCAACAATGTGGCTGCTCGCTACGCTTGTCCTGCGAGGGAGGGCTTGGCTGTCCCACTCCACAGATGCAGAGCCTGAGGCTTGGATGGACAGCCACCTACCCAACAGGGAAGAGATGCAGAATGTGGACCACATCCGGCAGGGGTGGGGAGGGGACACTCCTGATGGGGTCGACTGCCCCTGAGCAGTTATTCTCAGTTCTCCAGTTAGTATGAGCCTCGAGCCCTGACAACCTGTTAGGAACCTGGGGATGGGAGGGAATCTAGCTTCAGGAGGAAGGAGAGGGAGGGGCTCCAGCCACCACACCCCCGGCAAGCAGCTGTGCCTGGATGAGGGGTCACCGGCTGGGAACCTTTCCCTATGTCAGGCCACTGCCTCCTGCCACAGCCCCCAGGAGCAGCACACTACATTCTTGGTAACTTTGTTTCTTTTATTGCCAAGTTTGAATTTACAAAGAAGTTCCAGTTTTAATTTCCACCCCTGTGTTCAGTACCCACGAAACATGAGTCACGCTGGCGAAAGCAGGTACTTCCCTAGAGCCGTCCCGAGGTTCAGAGGCATCGAGGTTTTCCAACCATCGCTCCTCACTGGGACAAAAATTATTTACATATTTTGAGCTCCAGGAAACGTAAGGAATTCGTACAGTGTATGCCCAATGTCAAGATGACTACATTAAATGTTTCAGATTTACTTTGTCCAGACAAGAAGATCAAAATCAGTTTACCCCATGCCTTTTTTAAAAAACTGGGCATCTCAGAGGCCTTAGAGGAATCTAGCACGCATCTGGCAGGGCTGCGTTTCTTGACCTGCTCTTTGGGTTGCTTGTGAACTCACGTGTCTGAGTGGTGGGAGGCTGCTGAGGCTCTGGGAGAAGAACCAGGCTGGGAAGGTAGCTGCTCATGGGGGCCCCTCCTCCCAACTCCATGCCACAGCGGAGGCTGGCCCTTCCTGCCTGGGGGAGTGCCTGAGCTGGCCTCATCTGACCTGCTGGGACAGGCATTTCCAATGTCCAGAAAGGGACGAGCACATCTCCACAGCAACTTTCAAAGCCAAGGTTTGGGAGTTCCTGGAGCCAGCCGTGCTCCCTGACTTGGCAAACGTAGCTGGATGGTGCATGGGGGAAGGGTGGACCAGGGCCTGATGGGTCTGTCGGGGCTGACCTCAGACATCTGAGGCTATGACCTGAGTGTCAGAAGCCCCAGCTCCCGCTGTGGGCCCTCCCAGACTCTTGGCTCTTCCCCTGGCTGCCGGGTGCCAGGGATCCAGCATGTCCTGTCTGGACTGGCCTGTCTGGGAGCGCCCCGGCGATTACGTTTGCAGGAAGCTCCTGAAGACACAGCTGTGTCCACTGCCACTGAGACCTGCGTGAGGTGGGCAAAACGGCTGGTGGGCTCCAGTGGGCTCCCAGACCTCCTACATAAGCAAAGCTTCTGGGAGCCCTGGTTATCGGAAACCCCCACCCCACAGACCTGGAGGTCTCCCCCAGAGGCAAGTCATCAGCTACAGCTGAAAGAGGCCCGGAGAGTGACCCTTTGAGCCCTCACAGGGGACTGTCCTGTCCTTGGCCAGGGATGCAGGGTAGAAGCCCTGTCCCAAGCAGTGTCTTACTCTCCCCTGGTCCTCCTGGGCATGCTGTCCGGCCCTGGCCAAGACCTCTCCCCTCCGGTACTCAGTGGTCACCAGCTGACGGCAGGCTGGTGGCCCACCGATGTGGCGTGGAGTGAGGTGCAGGCTGTTCCTTCTGGTCACGCCTTGGGTGGGGCAGCCACTTGCCTTCTCTAGTTTCTCCTGCCCCAAAGACGGAGTCATTTCAAAACCAGAAGTGTGCGTCTAGGGGGCTGGCCAACTCCAGCCAGGGCCAACCCGATCCTCCCCACCCCTCTTGCTCTTACAAAAATCAAGTAACAGACAGGCAGCCTGCAGGGCATGGGGTGCCCCGTCTCCTGATACTGTGGTCCTTCTCCCCATGATGGTCTTCCCCTGTCCTGGTCTGTCTTCCTTCTCTTTGCAGGACTCTGCAGATGGCCATGGTGGTCGCGGCTTGTCTTTCCTTGAGGTTTCTGCCCAGGGGCCCTTTCTTAGTGATGTCTTTTCTCTACTGAAGCAAAGGTCCTTGTGCCTGCAGCCGTGAAAGCTGGGTGGACACAGCTACCCGGAGGGCTTCTGATGACTGAGACCTGTCCCCATGGGTGCCACTCCCCCTCCTCAGCAGGACTGTGTTTCCTTCAGGAGGTTGAAAACTGCCCTTGGCAGGCCTTGCTAGGACAGCTGGCTTGGCCGAGGACAGGGACTGTGTTCCTCTAAAAGGCAGGTGGCAAGATCTCAGTGCGTCTCCCGAGGCTACGCCACGGCCAGGCTCCGGCAGACATCTAACATTCCTGCGTATGGCACATCTGCAGGTCTGGAGGAAAGCCGTGGAAGGTCTCATCCGTGATCAGAGAGGTGAGGGGCTGCTGGCCTTGAAAGATCTGGGGAGGGTGAACTGCGGCCCGGGCTGTGAGTGCTGTGTCGTGCTCCCAAGCTGGCTGAGTAGAAAGGAACATCTTGCGTGCTGGGTCTGATGCATCCAGGTCCTTGCCTGCGTACACCCAGCCACAATTGGGGAGGAAACCATGGGGTCTTAATTTTCAGACCAGGAGGAGTAGCAGAGAGGGAGAGTGACAGACTCAGAGCTCTGGGGACACCATGCCCTTGCAGTTGGGGTGGGAACTGGCTCTGGGCCATCTCTCGGCGCACATGGGCAGACGCAATTTGAGTGGCAGGTGATGCTGAGGGCGGCTTCTTTTGATTTTCATCATTGCCACAGGGTCCGGAGTCCTCACGGTCCCAAGCGGTCCTTTCTTAGAGGTGGCAACACTGAAGAAGATGCTGGAAGCCGTCTCTGTTTGGTTTTGGTGAAGAGAAATGAGGAAGCATCCTGAGTGGGGAGCTGGCTACATTCTCCCCTTTCCTGGAGAAATCTTTCCACAATGGGAGGCCTCTTGGCTGCTATGGCAGAAAAGCTCTCAGCCCTCTCAGCTCTGTGTGTACCTGAGAATATGTGTATCTCCCTTGTTTTTGTTTAAAAAATAATCTAAACATTCCAGGAAGGTACTTTATCATTCCACAGGCTTGCAGAGTTAGTGAATAACAAAGAAATAAGAATCACTTAAATAAATGGAAAAAGCCACACTAAGAACTTTAAAACAAAACATCGGGAAAGGTCCAGTGTAAATGATAATGAAATCTTCACTGTATTCTTACACTTTTAACAGGACATCAAATCTTACTGTTGATGTTTTTGGACTTTTTTTTTTTAAATAGAAGTTTTAAAAATAAACGTTCACCTGCTGCCAAAAGCGGAAATAAATATCCAAAGGAGAAGTTTATCTAAGTCTGCTTTGCCACAAATTTCTACCTACAGTGACTTGGTCCAGTTCTTCTGCGCACACTGGGGCTGGTGACACAGAAGCCACGTGGAGGAAGGAAGAGGGGCCGGTGGCTCCTGCCACCTGGGGCTCAGAGACACGGAGCCCAGGCAGCTCCCTGAGGTGGCCGGTGCAGTCATCTCCATTCGTCGGGATGTCTCCACGGGTCCCAGCCTGCACGTGAAGAGACACAAAGTGAAAAAGAAATGGAAGGGCAACATGGCCTTCTTCCCATTCAAGGGAGTGCAGGGATAGGTGGCTGAGACAGCTGCTGGGGGCTGCAGAGAACTGTGGGTGCTTCCAGTGTGTCTCGCCAGTCAGCGGCACTGGGGGTCCCTACCAGCGGGGCCACACAAAGGGAGGCCCTGGTGCTGACTCAGTCCTCGGTGGGGCCCACAGGCTCGGCACATGCAGCCTCTTCGCCCAGGGGGTCCGTGCAGGTGGCAGCCGGTGTAGGCAGCGGGGAAATGCCGGTGAGGCTGCGGAGGCTGTGGGGGTCGACGGGGGGGACGAGGGTCAGAGACTCGACGCTCAGCGTGTCGGCCGCGTCCTCGCAGAGCAGGGAGATGGTGGGCTGCTGGGCAGGGACGAGGCTGGGGGACAGGCTGGCTGTCTCCACGGCTGCGCTCCTGGCCACGTTCTTGCTGGGCCTGGAGTCTACTTCTGTTTCGCTGGCGATCACCAACTGATCAGGAAGGTGAGGTTGAGGCAGTTCTGGAGTCGTGGGGGCATCTGGATCGGGGGAGAAAAACCGAAAACACACTGAGCTCTTGAGACACCCCTCATGCTGTGCCCTCTGCTCCTGTCCTGAACTGTGGCCCTGGAGAGCTGGGTGGGAGGTGGCTGGCTGGCGTGAGGGCTCAGCATGGCTCCTCCCACTCCTTCTGGGGACAGAGAACCTGTGAAACCCAGTCTGACCTAGGCCTGGGGTGCGACAGGGCCCACGGTTATCCTGACTTGTGATATGAGGGGAAAATTCAGGGCCTATGCAAAATCAGCACGTGGATCAAAAAACAGTTCCCAGGTGCAGGGACGGGGCTGACAGGCTTTATGTGCGGGCAAATCTCAGACCTGTCTGATAAGAAATACTTGTTTAGAAAATAAATGCGCTTGGGTGTGCTTGTATCGTCAGGCCATGTCCAGAGCATACATTTGATGGCATTTACCCAAGAGGGAACCCACTGCAATATTGGAAAAAAAAAAAAAAAAAAAGGAAATTCTGTAGAACTTTTCAGTTTGCAAAACCAAAACAAAACCTTGGCCTGTCTTCTCCTCCTCCTCCTCAAAGTGCTGAGCTAGCACCCAAAAAGGGGCTGCTGTGGTTACTCAGGCCATTACTGTCCCAAGCTTCCTGAAGGGGGCCACTGAGAAACCACACCAGGACGAAGGCAGTTATTCTTGCAGCAGCAATTTTTTTTCTCGGTGCTTTTTTTTTTTTTTTGAGGAAGAGTCTCACTCTGTTACCCAGGCTGGAGTGCAGTGGCATGATCTTGGCTCACTGCAACCTCCACCTCCCGGGGTCAAGTGATTCTCATACCTCAGCCCCCAGGGTCAAGTGATTCTCATGCCTCAGCCTCCGAGTAGCTGGGATTATAGGCGCATGCCACCATACCCGGCTAATTTTTGTATTTTTAGTAGAGACGGAGATTTGCAATATTGGCCAGGCTGGTCTCAAACTCCCGACCTCAAGAGAGTCGCCCACCTCGGCCTCCCAAAGTGCTGGGATTACAGGCGTGAGCCACTGGGCCCGGCCCTTGGTGCTTTTCAAAATCCTACAGACACATGCTGGCTCATTTGCCTTCCAGTGATGAGTCTGCCTGGACAGAAACACCAGATACAGCTGAAATTCACTGTGGAAAACACCTTCCAGCACTTCAGATGGCAGGTGTTTAAAAACACTGAGAGGAAGACAGTGGGCATCCCGCTTGGAGAGCAAATTCTCATTTGCACAGAGCTGGGGGTCACCGGCCATGGCAAGAGGTGCCGCCCACGCTCTATGGAGCTAAGAGTCTGACAGCACCCTGGGGCTTGGGAAGGATGGTAGACTTTTTTTTTTTTGTTGTTCAATGTGATTTCAGTTTAGTTTTTAATTTTCTCTTTTAAGTCAGGCCAAAATAAAACAGAACAGCAAACGGAACATAAAGCAAAAGAATGGAAAAACGAACGAAATAAAAGCAGGCAGTCTGTAGAAAGCGAAGGGGAGGAAGAGAGCCCCCATCATGGAGCGACAGCACAAGAGACAGACTGGATCTGAAAGCCACACCAGCATTTCTTCCCACAAGACTCTGGGCAAGATGAACTCTAAAAGGTCCCAATTCATCTCATTTCTTTTGTTTTTTTCAGACAGGGTCTCACTCTGTCACCCAGACTGGAGTGTAGTGGCATGATCATAGCTCACTGCAGGCTCAACCTGCTGGGCTCAAGTGATCCTCTTGCCTCAGCCTCCTGAGTAGCTGGGACTACAGGCCTGTACCACCACACCTGGCTAATTTTTAAATTTTTTTGTAGAGGGAGGGTCTCATTATGTTGCCCAGGCTGATATGGAACTCCTGGGCATAAGCAATCCTTCTGCCTTGGCCTCTCAAAGTGCTGGGTTGTGCACAGGTGTGAGCCACCTTGCCCAGCCCAATTAATGTATTTCTAAGACCTTTTTAAAAAAGAGAGAAGATTCAGAGGAAACACTGCAGGAGGCTTTGGGTCTGCCCTCACTCTGGGAGGGTGGCAATGGGGATCAGTAAGCACTAGTGGAAAAAGTGATTTGAGGTGTGATCTAAGCCCAGAAATGCTGAGTAAACTACGTGTGAATTCTGGTTTCTTTGAATTTCAACTAATTTGCTCCACTCAGTAAGGATGCCTCGTGCTGCTGGGCTGGTTTCAGCTGAGGCGTGTGCCCTGACCTAGCACGATCTGCCTGCTGTTTCTTAGAACCTGTGGTTCTCTGAGCAGGGCTTACCTGCTCTGGTGGCCTCTGCCCTTGCTTCAAATGGGCATGAGCGGATCTATGACGAACTCTCACACATGTGGATCCACACATAAGTTTCACTGCTGAGGAGGCGGTTTAGAAATGACTAATTCCGCAAATGGCACTGCCCTACCATCTGGAGACAGGGTGGCCAAGTGTTTCCCTCGTGTTGTCTTAACATTTCTATCAAGTGTTTTCCCTCTTTGCTCAAGTGTGCATTTGCATGCAGATATTCAAAAAAGCTGGCAAACTTCTTTCCCTGCTCCTTAATGGGGTATTTGGTGATTAGAATAATCAGGAATGTGGAAACATTGCAGGCAAATATATCAAAAAGAGCAAACCAACTAACAATAGCATGTGCACAGAGCTGATTTCTTCTTCAGGAAAAAGACCAACAATTTTTATTAAAGGGGTTGGTTTTTCCCCTAAAAGTAACCTCTTTTTAATTGGAAAAAAAGAACCTCTTCTTACCAATCACCTACGACATGGCCTTGTTGTTTAACTAAGAAGTGCTTCCTGAACTTGATCTACAAATGTATCCAACCAAGGGAGGTGAAAAAGGAGAACTCTGCCAGGTTTTCACCGAGGGGAATATTCCCAAGTGAGAACGTGTTTTTTTCTGGTCAAGTGTTGAGCTGCAGAAGTGACTGGTGAAGCCTTGCTTTGTGCCTGCTGGTGTTTTTGGACTACAGAGCCACACGCTGAGGCCAGGCCCAGGAAATGAGGGGTTTGGAGAAAAGTCTGACTTCCTGGCCACGGCTGAGGAGGCAGAGCCGAGGGGGGAATGGGATGTTCAGGAAGGCCACATTTCCACGAGCAGTGGACAGACTTCCCAGGGCCGTGGCCTGTGAGAATGCCAAGGCAGCAGGTCTCCCATGTGCTTAGCCGGCACCTGAGAAGCTCATCTGCAGGTCTGGGGCGGGGCCTCAATACATCCTGGTCAAGCAAATGGTGATTTCCAGCAAAGGGCTGGGAAAGGTGGGGCTGAGTGTTGTGAGGAAGAAAAGGTTGGTACTTGTAGAACAAGCGGAGAGCAAAGCTCACAGAGAATAAGCTTTCAACACAAAAGAAGGCAGAAGGTTCCCAGCGAACAAGTGCATCAGAAGCCAGAGAAGCGTCACGGCAGGGAGGAAGCAGAGGGGGCCCAAAAGCGAGCCAGGCTGCTGGGTGGTGGCCCACGGACAAGCCTCACCGCTATGTGGGCGCTACTCAGAAAGGGAGATGGTGGGGTGACATCCATCTGTGCATCTATGAGGGAAATGGCTCTTGGCCTCTGGCCGGAATGAGACTGAATTTGTCACTGATCTTTGAGCAAGGCCAGGGGGAGAAAGGAAAAGAAAAAAGAAACAAGGAGACTTCTTGGTTGCGTTTTACAAATTCTCACTTCGCCAGCCAACTGCCGCCCAACCCTCGTGGCCTAAACTGGGGGGACCCCTGGGGGATTTGGCGGGAGCATCTGCTTCTGACCCGGCCGAGTCTGATGCTGGTGCACACTTCATAGGGAAGGGCAGCGTTTCGAGGCTGCACACGCCTGGCTCAGAAGGACCGCCATGAAGGTCAAGGGCAGGGGATCTGGTCTTCAGATGAGGTGAGGCCAGAAAGGGAGCAGGGAGAGCCACCTTTGGGGGAAACTGAGGAAGTGCCGCCTTGGCAAATGGCTCTGTGCTCAGACCCAGCTTGGCCCACCTTGCCAGCACGGACCCTGCCGACTGTGGAAACGCAGCGTGGCGAGTGGACGTCGCGGCCCGAGCGGCTCACAGGGGAGACCTGCCTGAATTGACTGTGCGTGAGGTGCCGTGGCAGCCGCCGTTCGGAGCACTAAACCCAGTGGCCGCCATGACTGTCGGCCTCCGACAGGCTGAACACTCGCCGGCGTCCTTTCCTGCCACTCCTGACTAGAGGGAAAACACAGCGACAGATCATAGAAAGCCTTTTACAATGGACGGCAGAGGCAACACGGAGAGAGGGGACACAGAGCAGTAGCGGACGCTGAGCACTGATGAGGGGCGAGGGTCGTGGCCACCAGTGCGTGGGGCACTGGCCCTCCATGCAGAGAAGACACCCCCTATGCCACCCCCAGGATGAGGCAGGGTCAGGATCGCTCAGAACCAAACTGTTCACTCGTGCGGCTGAATCGGGGTAGGGACAGAGAGGTGGGGTCCTGTTAGAAAGGAAAGATGGGTTCATCCACATCTGGTCTTGGTCGGAAGCCATGGGGAAGGAAGAACAGAATCACCTGTCAGTTTTAGACGTGGCCCAGGAGTTAGGACACGAAAACCCTGCATCCCCAGGACAGCGTGAGGAGGGCAGGGTGTGTGGCTGGAGAACTGGCATCCAACCAGCTAAGTGCATCAAGCAGATTTCTGACCCCATGCGCGGAGGTTCCTGGTGTCACACGCTGACGCCAACAGCACAGCACTGGGTCCTGGGAAAGTTCAGATTCTCGAGGCATTCCACGAGCCTCTCCCTCAGCCACCTCCCTGGGCAGCAACTTGGTGACCCATGCCTTTGAAAACCAAGACTGAACCACAGCAGGAAAGCTGAGACCAGTCGCCAGGTGGTCCAGCAGTGCTTCTAATTGGCTGAAACAAAAAACGTCAGGAGCATCTCACTGCGAAGGGAGGAACCACACTCTCAGAGATGAAGACAGGTGAGCGCACAGCTTGAAAGTGACATCATAGAGCACTACACTGTGAAGGTCCTTAGATGCCACTGGACTACACACTGAAAAACGGTGAAAATGGTAAAGTTTGTTAGGCATATGTTACCACAATAAAAAAGGATGATGCCACAGAGAAAACAGGAGAAAAAGGAATACTTCTTACTTGGGGTTTCTGTCCTTAAAACTCCAGTGACACAGTAGTTACCAAGGTCAGTGGCATGCGAGTGGGTTTTGGGCCATCTGACTCTCAGTTGGCGCAAAGGGAGGTGTGTTGGGGTGAACGGGGCTCATTCGGACCAGGCACAGGGGTGAGTCCGGATGGGAGGGAAGGTGGGGAGGCTTTGTGCACTGGGGCGCCGACGGCAGCCAGACCATCTTTCTTTCTATGAAACCCCAGGGGACAATCAGGAGGCCATAGCTCATAACCCAATGTGGTTTTGTTTGTTTTGAGACAGAGTCTCACTCTGTTGCCGAGGTTGGAGTGCAGCGGTGCGATCTCGGCTCACTGCAACCTTGGCTTTGTGGGTTCATGCCTCAGCCTCCTGAGTAGCTGGGATCACAGGTGCCTGCCACCCTCCCTTCAATCTGGAGCCAGCACTGAAACAGCCACTCCAGGGCACCCATGGCTCTGCCTCTGGTATGCGAAGGAGGCTCAGAAGCAGGTGTTACATGCAGAAGGAACCAGAGAGCCAGCAACCCCTCAGGGCTGTCCCCTGTCCCCTTTCCCTTTCTGGATGAGAGGCCCTTGCCTGTGCTGGTACTGAAGCTACTGCTAAGCCACAGGCTGTGGCCGTGACGAGCTTGGGTGGGGACTTCCTCAAAGGTGCCCTCCCCCTGCCCATGGCCTGTCTGCATTTGGGAAGACAGAATGTACAGGCAGACCCCAGGGAGATGGGCAAAAGGAATCCACTGGTCTCCAGGAGATTGTGGTTTTGGGCCCTGGTGGACTCACGTGACACCCAAAGGACCAGGGCCTAGCCAACCCCTTGCCCCCGAGCTGTCAACTCCAGCAATGCTACCTCTGGGAGCCTCCTGCAGCTGTTCTGCATCGGCCGTCGGGGCCTGTTGCACCTTTCCTTTGTCACTGTTTGTAACTATATATCTGTCTGGGTGGCTACCTGACGGGCCTCAGCCACCCCACCTGCCTGCAAGATCACAGTTTTTGCCACACTGCATCCTGAATGCTGCGCATAACAGGGACTTATCCTAATCATCCTCATCCTGCTTGCTTAGAAAAAGATACTTCAGGGGGACAGGGACTGGGGTGCCCAAACCCAGGAAAGACAAGATCCAGGGAGATGAGCCACTAAGAGAATGGAAGGCCACGTGTGGGCTGGGTGGGCAGAAAGACCTCTTAGATCAGGTCTCAAGTCCACAAAACCAAGAGGACAGTGTAAGCCTAACCCTGGGAGCCAGCCTGAAGTCCCCGTGGGAAGCTGAGCACGTGTATTTGGGATAAACGGGGTGTTTTCAAACCTAGGCAGGAAGCCTAAGGTCCTCTGAGCTGGACACAGGGTAGAGGCAGAAAACCCAATTTAGCATTAGCCGGTTTGACTGCCTCATGTGGGATGAACCCACGTGGGCCCACTGGGGTCCATTTTGCTGCTGATATGAGGAAAGCACCGGGCCTTCCTCCCACAGGGGTGCACACCACCCAGCCTTCTGCTGGCTGGGGCCGCACATGTTACCAGGCCTTCATGAGTAGGGCCGTGACTTTTCATGTGGGCCCTAGAGCAGCCATGAACGTTGGAAGGAGGAATGCACTTTGTGGGCTGCCTCCAACCAGGATCCAGACTGGGGCCCGGGTCTCTGGGACACCTTGGAGGTGCCTGAGACAGTCTTGGGAACTGCATTGGCTATTCTGCTAGCTGTTTCAGAAGGTGGAACGTGGGCTTTAGGGTTGCCAAGGCTAGGCTTCAGATCTTGGCTCCTCTGCTGGCTAGCTGCATCCTCTGGGCCAAGTTGCACCGCCTTTCTGGGCCCCTGTGTTTTCTACTGTAGAGTGTGAGGTGGAGTGTGGCAGGATTTGACAAGGGGACATCTATGAAGTGCTTACAAGCATGGTGTATGGCACAGGTGGGCGCAACTTCAGGAGGAGTGTCTACTGGGACGCCACACAGCAGGTGCACAGAGAGGGCCCTGTGGTGGCTACAGCAGGAGCCCATGTGCCTGGGCCACAACTGTCAAAATAGCGCAGAGAGCACTCCCAGCTTTTAACACCCTTGAACAATTCAAGTGTTCAAAACCACATGCCAGAGCCATGGAAAACTGGGTTTGTCTCATCACCTGGGAGATGGCATGTCTCATGCAATTTCCCAGCCAAGCCCCTGGACATGCAAAGTGTGCTTTCAACGGCAAAGGCGGGCCAGGCATGATGGTCGTGCCTGTAATCCCAGCACTCTGGGAGGCTGAGACGGGCAGATCACTTGGGGTCAGGAGTTCGAGACCAGCCTGGCCAACATGGTGAAACCCCATCTCTACTAAAAATACAAAAATTAGCTGGGCCTGGTGGTACACACATGTAATCCCAGCTACTTGGAAGCCTGGGCAACAGAGCAAGACTCTGTCTCAAAACAAACAAACAAAAAAACCAAAAAACAAATCAACGGCAACAAAGCCACTGGGGTTTGCTAGTTCTGACTTCCGAGGGTCTGGCAGTTGCTCTCTACAAGGCGGAGCTTCCTGGACTCTGGAAGGCTTCAGAATCACAGGGACAGGAATGCTTCTGACTTAGCACTGTGCCCTCAAAAACCACTCTGCGGACAAGCTGCCCCTTGGGGGTGCTGCAGCTGTCTTCTGCTGTCCAGGCTGAAGGCAGTGGGCAATTAGGATGAATGGGCTTGGAGGAGAGGCCCTAGCTCACCCTGCCGCCGGGCTGGCCCTCCAAGGATGTCATCTCTTGTGAATGAGGGCCAGGCCCCCAGCTGGCGAAAAGTTGGGTGAGAGAGCCGCACAGGGCTATCTTCCCTCATCAAAAGCTTGAATGCTGGGCCATACTCTGAGTAGATGTCGAATCAGGCAACTGGCAGAAAGGCTCCCATCCCAACAGAACTGTCTCCCTTCTCCTGTTCTTGGCTTTCTCTCCTGCGTGGCTTGGTGGAATAGCAGGCAGATGTTGTAGCCATCTGGTTAGATCCACCGCTACAGGGAACATGGGAAGCCCATATGCTTCGTTTTGGGTGGACTGGGAGGGAGACTGCACGCTGGCCTGGAAGTCTGGCCTCAAGGCAGGGAGGAGCTTGTGGGCTCTGATGCACTCTCCTGCCAGGGATCAATACCTGCATCCCGAGGCATTGGTAAGAGTAAAGCCCAGGCTGCCCGCCGGGCCAGGCCCTTCAACAAGAGGTGAGTTATCTCAGTGTCTGCAGAGCTGGACAGGCAGGCTGGGCCTCAGGCTTTTACTGTCAAGCTACATAAAGAATGGGGATCTACACACTTGTCTCCGCAGGCCTGCTGTGGACGCACCAAATGGGAGCAGACACCTCGGAGGTCCTGACTCTCACTTAGCAAATGGAACTGCCTGGCCACCTGACAACCAGGCTAACAGCCACTGGATTTCTGAGATAAGAAGACACAGTACTGGCACCATGCAGGGGATGGTGGGGGTAGGGACAAAGGAGCTGGGGGAGGCCCAGAGAAAAGACTAGCACACGCCACAGACACCAGCCTCTGGAAAAGTGCAGAGCTGACACCTCAGGGGTCACGTTCACGTGGGCATCCATATACAGAGGCCCATTTTTGATAGTGTGGGTCTTTGCTGGTTTTAGCTTTAGGCAAAGAGGTGTATGCCTCTTTGTTCACTTAGCTGTTGGCTGTGCGTCCTTAAAAATGACAGAAAGGTGACTACAGCTACACGGGAAAGGGAGCTGTCATCCCCAGTGCAATGGTGAATATATGTGCTGGGGTGTCCATGCAGACAGAGAAGCGTGCACGCACAGGCAGGAGGTGGATGTGCACACAGGCACATGAACACACAACCTTGCATGCCTGTCTCTGAGCAAGCATGAGACGGGGATCAAGAGGGCTACTGAGGGTGCACCTTGGCTCCTGGAAGAGACTTTGCTGGAATTTCCCAGCTACGAGCCTGGCAACAGCAGTGGCATCTGCTTAAATGTGTAGCCAACCTTAAATTGGGCTTAGAAATAGCTCAGAAGGGGTGGTCATGTCCTGGAGCAGGTGCCGAGTGGAAGAGGGACTCAGTGAGGTGGCTGTGGGGTGACCTTCCTGCCTGGGCCTCGTAAAGTCAAGAGGAAATGGAAGCAACACTGTGTGTGTATGGGATGGACACAGGCGGGATGAGGTGCTCTGAGCCAGAGATATGAACTGGAAATGCAAAACGTGGAAGTGCCTGAGAGCGAGGTGTAGGTGCCCGGGGAGACCTTGGCTCCTGGTGCTGAAAGGATGGGGACCAAGGGCCCTCGACCTCCCTGGTTCTGCAGTGGCCTGCGTCCTGTCATGATGCATCATCTATAAATTAATGAAAGTCGGGCCAGGTGCCCCTGAAATATGATGAGTGAGGGCTCTGGAGGGGACCTTGCAGGAACAGTGAAGGACACTGAGGGTCCCCAATCAGGAGTGCAGGCAGTTGGCATAATCCCCTAGACCCATGGCAGGGGGATGCTGCCGGGGCATGAAGCATCTTGCTGGCTTAAGGCCATGGATGCCCCTCCCTGCTCCTCTGGCTACAATGTGGGGCCATGTCGTTCCAGAGGCCTGGTGTCTGTACTCCCCACAACCTGCGCAGGGAAGAGCTCACGGCAGCGGAGAATGAGGAGCAGGGGCATGTCCCATTCTAGGCTGACTCCAGGGGCTCTCATTCACTCCTGGATTCCCTCTGTGCCATGTCTGAAGTGGAGTAAGTTGAAGGATGGCAAGATATGACTTTATCACATCCTACCAAAGTCTCCAACGGGTGGCAAAGTGCATGCCTCCTCAGACAACTGGACTGCACTACATTTAAGGACAAAACTCGTATGTTATAGAGGCAAAAAAAAATTCGCAGGAACACGATTCTTTTCCCAGACTGCAAACAATCACCTCGGGAAACCTAAGACTGTGGAGGTGATGATGGGGTTGGTTTAGGTGTGGCCCACCTGCTGCCCATCCGCTCTGCAGTCAGTCGTGGCCTCGGTGGGGACCGGCCTGAAAAAGGAGCAATTCTTCCCCATCTGGGAGTTGACCCAGCTCGGGAGGGAACATCACGTTAAGACACCTCTAGAGGCTGCAGGTGTACATCACCTGAGCGGCAGCATCCTTCAGTGACCAGGAGGACCTGGAGGTCAGGGGTTTTGGTAATGGCAAGGGATCACAGGGTTCCCCAAATGCCCCCCCATCACAGAATCACGTGGCCAATACCTGCGGGGCTCTGAGCTGTGGAGGGGGTGGAGGACGAGCTGGTGCCTCCCGAGTCGCAGTGGCTGGTGCTCCCACTGCCGCTGGGGCTCCCGCTGGCGGAGGGTGGCGACCTCGAGGACAGGGATGGGGAGCTGTGCTGGTTTATGCACTGGGCCACGGCGAAGCCTGCAAGACAAGGTACCAGGTGACTAAATGGAAGCAAAGAGCAGGCCCGGGGACCTCAATGTCACGCTTCCGCTGAGCAACCCAACCCCAGTCCCTTGCTCTGTTTGCTGGAACAGGCTGACCTCGCTGGCCGTGGGTCTGACCCGGCCACATTTGGAAGGTATTTAAGGAAAAGAGTATAACCAGCCACAGAGCTGAGAGTGGGGCCGTGAGTCGTCAATCCAAGTGTCTGATGCTGGCTCGGCAGCTCGCCAGCTGTGTCCTTCAAGAGGGACATGCAGCCTCTCGTGGCAAATTCACCCAGGAATGCTACATGCCCTCATGGTAGAGTCTCGTGGTCTCTGCTGATGGTGCCCAAGGAAGGGCACCTGACTCACGCCCTGAAGTCACGTCCGGGCAGGAGGGGAGTGCCCTGGACCTTCTTTACAGAGAATCTGCTCTGCCCTTGAGGCTCTAGGAGAGCCAGGTTCAGGAACAACGAAAGCTCTGGTGAAGAGCTAGTGATGACGGTCTTAAATGGTCCTCAGCAACTCTGGGACCTGGAGGTGGGGTCTGCTGCACCTTTCTGCGGTAAACCGACACAGTGGGGATGGACAAGCCCCTCATCTTGGAGATACTCAGACCTGGGCGCAACCCTGCTTCCTGCAAGGACGCACCAGACACATGGATAGCTATCGTGTTTCTCCTGAGTCTCTAACAGCTACATCCAGGAGGTACACTACCTGCTCTGATGACCCCACTGTTGTGGGGATAAAATGAGGTAACTTTTGTCAAGCCCCAGCAGAGGGTGTGGCACATGGTGAGAGCTCAGTACACCTGTTTGTTCTTTATGTTTTTCTGGGATAGGGTTTCTCTCTGTTGCCCGGCCTGGAGTGCAGTGGTGTGACCTCAGCTCGCCACAGCCTTGAGCTCCCAGGCTCAAGTGATCTTCCTGCCTCAGCCTCCTGTGTTAGCTGGGACTACAGGCATGTGCCACCATGCCCAGCTAATTTTTTTTTTTGTAGAGATGGAGGGTCCCACTATATTGCCCAGGGTGGTCTTGAACTCCTGGACTCAAGCGATCCTCCTGCCTTGGCCTCCCAAAGTTCTGGGATTACAGGTGTGAGCCACCACATCTGGCCTGACGTGTTCTTTATGATAAGTCAAAATCCCTTTTATCCGGCCCAGGGGCCCCTCTTCTGGTGGACATGTGGTTTTCTGCAGGCCATGACTTCAGTCCCTAAGAGCTGGGCAGGACCCATGGTGATGGTGTTTGGTAGTACAGAAGCAGCCGCAAATTGGGGTGGAGATATGGTGGGGGGGTGAGTCCTTCCAGCTGAGAGAGGGAATCTCAACCCTCTTGGTCATTCCCCCAGGCCTTGCCACTCCTCAAGTGAATGCATTCACTACAGCCAGCCCGGGACCTCATTCATATCACCTGCCCTGCTTGAACCTCACATGGTCCAGCTCTCCACTGACACTACTTCCAGAAGGCCCTTCAGGCTCTGACCTCACCTTTCTTGAAACTCAGAAAGGCAGCAGGGTGTTAGCAGGGTTGGCGTCCTGCAGCCTGCTGCCTGTTTGATAAGTAAAGTTTCACTGGAACAAGCCACGGTCCTTTGTTTACACAGACCCTGGCTGCTTTCTCGATCAGAGTTGAGCAGTTGCCATAGCGACCACATGGCCTGCAAAGACTAAAAGGTTTTTTTAGAAGGCCACTCTCAGTGGCTCATGCCTGTAATCCCAGCATTTTGGGAGGCCGAGGCGGATGATTCATGAGGTCGGGAGTTCAAGACCAGCCTGGCCAACATGGTAAAACTCCATCTCTACTAAAAAAAAAAAAAAAAAAAAAAAAATTAGCTGGGTATAGTAGCAGGTACCTGTAATCCCTAGCTATTTGGGAGGTTAAGGCAGGAGAATCATTTGAACCTGGGAGGTGGAGGTTGCAGTGAGCCAAGATCATGCCATTGCACTCCAGCCCAGGGAACACAGGGAACAGAGTGAGACTCTTTCTCAAAATAAATATATAAATAAAGTAAAAAAAAAAAAAAAAAAAAATTTTTTTTTTTTTTTTTTTGGCCAGGTTACCTGTTACCTGGCTCTGGACAGAAGCAGTGTGCCCATCTGGTGCAGGGGATGAAGCCCAGGCTCTGGTACCAGGGGTTAGCCCTCCTCTGCTCACTTACCAGCTGTGGGGCCATGGGCATGTCCCTGATTCCCTCAGCCTGCTTCCTTTCACCTATGGATGGGACCTGTGGCTCTGTCTCTCCGGCTTAGGGCTTAGCAGGACTCTTCTCCTGGCCACCAAGGAGAGGATATTTGTACTCAGGTTAACGTGAAGCCGTTTTTGTCTAAAGATCAGCTCCTTAAAAGGTAGGGGCCCTATTTATACCACGAGTTGGGTTTTGGGGATGATGTAACAAGCATCGACCATAATGGCAAGTGTGTGGGGCCTGCTGGGAGCAGGGTTAGTCACCGAGCGAGGTGGCCATCCTGAGCACCAGCTCCTCTTGTATGGAGGGTATTTCTTGTCCACACCTATGGCAGAGATCTGCTTGCGGAGAGAAAGGCAGGATGGATGTAGCTGGAGTTCTCAGGAAGAGGTACAACGTGATATATTGTGTGTGTGTCAGGCGCCGGCTCAGACGACCTATGGCAAACATCCGGCAAATCCAAACACCGGGCAGGAGCATTCCTTGGGGACACTCAGCCACAGCCTCACAGAACCAGTTTTATAGCTGTTCACTTCTTAATCACTTAGAGCGGTAAACCCCCCAGTTTACAAGCTGTTTACTTTCCTTGAAAATGAATTACCCCTTAACAAATCAAAATGTCAAGATGGCTTTTCCCGAGGTGCCTATTTATCAGGGCTAAGAACAGAGGGCCAGCCAGTGTCATAACAGAGTGGGGATTACACCTTGTACGCTCCCGATAACAACCCTGGCTGGAATGGATCAACGACACGGCTGTTGCCAAGGTGGTCACATGCCCCTTCTAAGAAGACATGTGTTTTCTCTTGCTCTCTTTAAAGCCCTGGTTTGTTATCAAAAGTCATCTGCAGTGGGACGTGTGGGGTAGCAGATGAGAAGCCGGCACTGCAGTCAGGATGCTTCACTTCTTTCATTTTGGGAATGGGCTGGGATCAAGTCATAGATTGGCAGTAAAATCTGCATGTACTGAGCTGAACATAAAAACAAAAATCACCAGCCTCTGATCCCACCCATTTGCAGGGTCTAGCTGAGCAGAGGTAACTGAACACATCTCTTCCTCACCTGCTGCTACTAAAAATCCCACCTCCCGCCTTTCCACTCTCTCTCCCTTTCCCAGTGGCAATGAGACCAGAAAGGAAAAGATAAAAACCAGTGAGTTTTTTTCTTTTTTTTTTTTTTTTTTTTTTTTTGCCATTTGTATGTCTTCTTTTTAGAAATGTCTGTTCAGACTATTTGCCCATTTTAAAATATATTTTTTTTGCTGGATGCCCGAGGCCCCCCACCTGCAGTTTCAAGGGGCTTTTCCCCAAATCTAGGTGGCGGCACATCAGAGAATCAGGAGGGTGCTGGTGAGAATTTAGGATGAACACCCATGGCCGGAGCACTGTGTCCTCTGGTTCCTGCTTCATCTCAGCCAGGCAGTCCTTGATGAACTAGCTTTGGCGGAGTTGCCAGAGGCTTTTGGTGCATGAATCAAACACACACGGGCTGCCAGGTACATGCAAACACACAGACGAGCCAAAGATTGTGGGACAGGGATGCAGGCAAACAGGCCTCCCTGAGATCCTCTCTAGATAACACTCTTGACGCTCCCTGGGTGTGTTTCAAGAACATCCTGCAAAATGTATATATGAGTCTGTACGGCCTTTCACACCATCTGACCAATTCCACACCTGCAGACGACACTGGGTAGATCCACATACCAAACTACAGGGACATTCAACCTACTGGTGTGCAGAACAGAGAACAGAAGACGGCTGATATGTCCAAGAACTGGGGCAAGGCTAAGTGAATTCTAATCTATTCAGATGATGAAATTCCCTGCTGCCAACCAAGATGCTGATAAGAGATGATTAAGCATCAGGGGAAATGCTCAAGATGGAGTCAATGAAAAGGGTTAGAAAAAGCATGTCCCATATGTTTCTGCTCTTGTAAAAAAATGCATGCTCTCTTGTCCATGGCAGAGAAAGCACACTGGAGGGATTGAAGCCGACGCAGTGAGAGAACCAGGTAGTTGTACTGCAGTGAGTTTTATTGTTATTTTTTGTGCTTGTCTGAATTTTCCAAGACTCCTATTATAAACCTGATTTTAAACCAAAAAAAAAAAAAAAAAAAGGGAGGATGATGGAAGGAACATAAGCTGCCTGGGAGCTGGACGGACTCAAGCTCCCGATCCTAACATCCTCCTGAGATCTGTTCTGCCCTCTGAGGCTCTCTCCCCTGGACTCACCAAGAGGAGGGCCAGGAAGGCCACTCCAACAGTTGGGGGACCTATGCCCACGATGAGACACATCCCCTGCATCCCAGGAGCGCCCTGTTTCATGCGGGGCAGCCCAGGGTCTTCCTGTTGCCCTCTGGCTGTGTATAGCCAGTTATTTTGGGAAGATGAACTAATGAATAACGCTCTGGCATTTGTCAAGCCCAAAAATACCACAAAAAGGTCAGTCTTCTATTTTTAGGCCCACTGATAGAAGGAGCACTGGGCTTGGAGTCAGAACCCCAGGTTTGCATCCAAGCTCTGCCCAAACTGACTTTGAGATGTTGGACATGCCCCCCTCCTCCTCTTCTCTGGGTCTTTAAGCTTTCCCCACTAAGAATCACTTTACCATGTGATTCAGGATTCAGAGCGGGCCAGCAGTGGCCTAGGGTTGCGCATAAGCTTTGCTTTGCTTATTTACGTGATGTGTGTGCTTGCTGGAGGTATCACCATTGACACGTTGGGAGATTTTATGCACAGACCAGGATTTCTGGTTTCTTAAAAGATGAAAAGATCTGCCTTTACGGGGTCCCATTCCTACGGGACAGCAATAG